CTAGCCTTCGTAACATAATTTGATAAAATTTCACGATTCGTAGAAATAATATCAAAAAATGGTACGGACCCACGGCAACTTTTGACTTGTTAAACGGAAACGATTTGCGTACGTGCCTAACAAATCAACATGCCTATGTGAACCTATTCGTAACATTTAAAAATTTCACGATTCGTAGAAATAATTAAAATATTACGGGGTTCATAACAGTTCCGATGTATTTCCAAACTTTTGTCTGAAAAATACGCCGGAAGTGTTAGGTGAGCGATTGAAAAGTATGCAAATATAATACCTCTTTTAAACAGCTCGAGAAAGATACGTAACCGATCCCTCATACAGGACCAGTAGTTCTCAAGTCTATTAAAAAAAAGTATTAGTTGCAACACATTAACATTAACTGATACTTACTTTCTTTTTTTGTTTGATTCTAATTCGTAACGTAGCTTTAAGGCTTCGGTTCTATTTCAGTGTTCTTCTTCTCGTTCTTATTCCGTACCGCATATTTCATTTGTAAACCGTTTTTTTAAATGTGTACGATTTTTTTTCTTCTAAATTTATTACAGCTATAACATATTTAATACCATTAAAATCGTCTCATTGAGACGAATCGAATGGTACTAAAATTATTCGATTTTGATCACTAGATATCAAGATAATTAAGGTTTTGTACTATTTTGCCTTAATAAGGTTCTTTAGTTTAGTTTTTTCTAATTTACTACTTCTAAAATACCCGAAGATGTGCCGATTGATCCTTATCTAGTGATTTCAGTGAGCTATCACTTTCTGAGCTCTCGCTTTCACTTTCTGAGAAGGAAATAATTTTAAAGAAGAAACAAGAAAATGATAAATTTTTAAAATAATCTCAAATTCATTAAAACGTAAAATTAGAGTTTAAATTAAAAGTGTGAATAAATACACAAAAATATAATACGTGTGAAAAAATTCGACAGACACGTGTTTATTGACCAATCAGGATATAAGAGATATAAGATCAGGTGTAACTCCTTCCAATTTTGGTTTTATGTTCTTAATTTTCGAAAGTTCGTAGACTTTTAATAAATTGAGAATTAATTTGTTTTTGAATAGTTTCAATGTGAGATTGCTAAAAACAAAATAAAAAGTACATTCAATATTTGACAACACCAACTAGTGTTGTACGTTTTGGCGCTTTTTTGGACATACCCAATGCCCAAACGTCCAGGTGTCCAAAGTGTCTGCTCATAACCTTAAATATTTTAGTAATTGAAATGATTCTATTCTCTGATTAATTCTAAACATTTTGCTTAGGAAGTTTAAATAGGTTATCTTAATAAAATTTTGAGTAAACTCAGTTTATTTTTTTTGTCCAAAATGCCCAAGATGTCCAAGATTATGTTCAAAGGCTGTCCAACGACAATACTGACACCAACTACGACACCAAGAACGATGAAATTACATAGACAAAAAAAGAGGTGAAAAAATAATAAACATTTATATTAAAAAAAAAAAGATACAAAGCGATGACTGTGTGAAAAATTACTGTATAAAACACTAAGCATCAATTTATTGATTAGACCAATTGTATAAATCTATATTACATTTTAATACTAATGAAAAAAAATTTTTTAAAAAAACAAAATTTTTTAAAAAATCTACTATCTTATCACTGTATTAATTTCAGAAAACTATGTAATATTAAAATTAAACTGTTCAATAATTAAAAGTTAAGAATTTCTATTAGTATATACTTATAATTGAATAAAAACTATTAAACACAATAAAAAAGTTAGATGTTTAGAGCATGTCAAAATAATATCATTAAAATTTCATACTCTGTTTTCTGTGTTGCTTGAATGTTTTATAAAAATTATGCCACATTATTCCATATCACCAACAAAGCCCAAAATATAAACTATTCCTCCCACTGACCCGATGACAATTTTTTCATGATCAACATCCATACTTATAGGTCCCATATTGTTTGTGGTCATTTGATCAGCCATGCTTTCCCACAATCCTCCAAATCTATTAATTCCTTTCTCTTGCGAATAAACGTATATACTTTTATTATTATGTGTTCTGCTATTAAATCTCGTACTAAAAATGACCCTATCCTTAGAACTATCAGCTATTCCACAAAATATTTCCGCCTCCGATGTAATCTTTTGTTTTATCACAGGATCCGTAGACAAATCTGGTTCAATTATGATTTCATCTACACCTTCTGTCTTTTTTCCTGTTTTAATGTATTTGTTTTGCCATCGAAGTTTATAGACTGTACGAGTTGTTGAACATGTTATTTCCATTCCAGACGCACAGAACCATTGGATATGCGAGTTATCGGGGATTTTATATTGATGAATTTGGAGCTTCTCTTCAAGTGCATACGTACGAATCCAACCATCACTATTTGTAGTTATCAGATTGTTGTCACCCAAAAGCTGAATCCCAAGAAGCTGTCAAAAAGTTATCATAAGTATACAAAAAAAAAAAAATTTTAATTCACAACGCTGTACTAAATATATCACATACCATATTACCAAATCCTCTGAAAGTATGCAATTTTACCCCTTCTTTCAAATCCCACACAATGACTGACATATCATGGCCCGCTGTTACTATGTATTTTTTATTCATCGACAAACTCTTGATACCACGATTATGTGCTGACAATGTCAGCAATACTTCACCTGAATCCATGTGCCAAACATGTACTCTACTTTAAATATATAGAAATATCAAAATAAAATACGATTAAATAATTAAATAAGTGACTAAATAATTATAGTACATACCCTTGCTCATTAAATCCAGCAGCGACCATCCTCAATTCTAGTACGAAATCAACACAACTTACAGCTTTACCCTGTAAAGTTTTTACACATCTACCATTTCTCATATCCCAGATTCGTACGGTCTCATCATAACTTCCAGTAACTAGTGTAGTCTTTTTCAATTTCATCGCAGTAACATTTGCAGTATGCCCTTTGAGGAATTTAACGGATTGCACATTACCAAGAACCCAATTGTGTTCACGATAATGAAGACCATGATAAATTTCTTCCCATTGTTTAGGATCAGAAGGATATGTAAGAGTGACAGGGTCATCTTGAGTAGCTGATAAACATTTTGCTTTCCAAAGGTTAGGTTCATTAACCATTTCTCGCCAACGTCTCGATACTTCTCTAGCACAACAAAGATTTTCGGCTGATAATAGCGAAAGAATTTTAGTAGCTAGTTCATTTGGTAGTGTTCCAACTACGTCAAAAGTTGTCTTTACATAATGTTCTAATATTGCTTGTTGTGCATGAATGTCATGGGGATGACAACATTCAAGAAATTCGGCTAATCTAAAATATCACGACATATTAATATAAATACTCGGTATTGGTAAAAATTTATTTACTAATATGTGACATACTGAGCTTGTCTCTCATCAGGTTCAAGTGTCTTCAGATAATTCTGTATTTCTTGTTTACCGCTATTAATAACTGTAATAATATTGTTACTAGTTCCTATACCTGCCAATTTATTTACACAATTTCGATGCTAAATTAGAAATAAAATTATGTTAATTATGTAAATTTTTTATATTAAAAAAGTAAAATTTTATTAAATACCTCATTCCATAATTTATTATATCGATCAGTTATTGTATTCTTTGAAATTAACAACATATTTTTTTCCTTTTCTTCCTTAATAAGAGCCTCACTCAATTCGCGAATTTTTTGATTAAGTTTATCGATCTCACTCTTATTTTTATTTCGCTGAATGATATTATTACATATATAAAAACATTATTAAATATATTAATGTTGAAACCTATTATTCCATCATATATTTCGTTACCTTTCCTTTTTCTCCATCACATAGACTAGCGGATACCGAAAAAGATTTACGATTATAAGCTTCTTGTATCATAGACAAACCTTTTCGTAACTAAATTGTAAAATAATAGTATAATGCTTGAATAAATAAATAATAAATACATTTTAATAAAATATTTCAGACCTATTTAAAATAATAACCTGTTCATCTGGATCAGTAAAATGATAACTCGTTTCTATTGACATTTTATGAGTATCACTATCAATATTAACATCATCTTTCCAAGATACATCAGATAAATCGAAAGGAATATCCAACTTCAGGGGAGTATTTGATGAATAATTCGATACATTTGATGGGGATCGTGTTCCATTAAGGAATAATTGTTCTAGCTGTTCCATATCCATATATTCTAAGTTTGTATCAGTGAAACTTGTTGGAGTTGTCGAAATTTCACTAGTTGATGCTGGAAGGCTACCGCCTTGTGTCACTTTCTTTTCTAATGTAGCAATTGTATTTTTGACATTAACTGATTTTAAGGCAGGTGAAGAAGGATGAACAGTCGGAAAGATTCCATCAATTTCTGAAGAGGTGTTTGATGAAGATATCTTTTGCATTTTATCATCTAAAATCATTGAGAATGGATCAATAGTAAAAGATTCTGGAGATAATGGGCTCACTTTTGATCCATTTTTTGTAGGTAATGGTAAAGTGCGCGACTTGAAAGGTGCTGTAGATGATGTTTTAGATGCATCTGTCATTGTAGACATAACCCTTGATGCCCTTTTTGGGGATGAATTTAGGTTCTGTGATGACTTTGTCGATGTGGATTTCGTAACACTTGAAGTTTTTGCGGCTTTTTTAGCGATCTTTACTGAGGCATTAGTTGAATCATCATTTAAAGGTACTGGAGAACCGCTCAAACGTCTCGAACCAAAAATTGGATTCGAATGTGATGAGGAGACGCTCTTTGCATTTCCATTTGTTAAACCTATTGCCTTTGCTTCTGCAGAAATGGCCTTAGTATTTTTTGTTGAATTCTTAAGGTCTGTTCCTTGTGTCATTATTGTAACTTTCTTTTCCATTCCTTCAATACAGAATAATACAAGAATCGAATATAATCGAATTAGAGATTGATACAAAATTATTACGGTAGGATTATTTATTCATATAAATACGGAATAAATATTTCACAATAATATATCCATCAAATGCTTGTATTTTTTTTTTTTTTTTTTCTTGAAAAGTATCATGAATTCATCGAATAATATTTCTAATTTCAAATACTGTAGTAGAATCTTAAAAAAGTATTGACAAAACATTTAGAAAAAAAGATTATCCCAGTAAATAAATACATTAAAAACACCATAAACTAGATTATATACACGCCAATATTTTGCTTAACAATTTATAAAACACCAAGCCACCAAGACGATTTAATTTATTCATAATTACTAACCTTAACATGAATTTAACTTGAAAATAATATTTATTATCAAATGAATAATATCAAATTCTCGTCAACTATCATATAGATATGTACGTACAAAGAATTGAAATTATTTATATATCAAAAATCAGGGCAACAATAGTTTCATCAAACAATTGGGTAGAAAAAAGCAAAATGCCGAAGTTGAAGTTTAACACGCAAATCTTTTGTGAATTATTTTGGTGGTACTAGCGCTTGTCACCTTATATAAGCAAATCCCTTGAATACTTAAACAAGTTTGGCGTCAAAAAAATTATTTTAATTAGAAATTTTAACTCCACACGAGGGTATTACTCTATGCGTCAATGAAAATGTTTCCCTTGGCAACTATTAATGTAAAATTATTCATGAGTATTAAGAATTTTAATACGTAGTAATAATTTCATTTCCTTCCTTCGATATTATTGTATTACGGGTCTTATTGATATATTTTTTTTTAGTTATGCAAGGAGTATAGGAGAATTACCTGCCGAATGAGGAAAGTCGACAATCAATTCTTGTTTGAATTTGATTCTGCGCTGAACGCTATAACATGAGCAAGGTGGGCATGCTGCACGACATGTGTCCCTGTCAAGGATATGAGTGTACATGATCGTTGATGTTGTGCCGGAAGTATCCCTATCTTATAAACATTACATTAGCCCGCACAAATTTATACGTATATGTAATTGATTTTCATATCTCGGTCGGGTCAGTTCGAAATTTTTTTTTTTTTTTTTATAATAGAACCGACCAATAAAATTATCCATTTAAATCATGTGATCAAAAAGGCGACCGGATCAGTTTCTTCTTTTCATTCTTTGATTAACTGGGTGGCTTCGGCAAATACTGTATAACGAGAGGTAGGGGGCAATATCGATATGGTTTAGTTCGGTCGACCGGGCTGACCATTATACTAAATTTTTAGCTAATTACAGCTGTTTTCATAAATTCTGGGACACCTAAAAATTTATTCGTTTCCCGAAATCTCTTCGGTTTCGTTCTG